AAAAAAAAAAAGTTGAAAGCGGAAAAGAACAGAATTTACTTTAGAAACAGTAACTGAACGGTGCTTTAGATGGGCAATTCTGTTGGACGTAGACTACAAGATACTGAACATAACTGCAAGAAAACTTTGACATCAAAACAAATTTTTGGAGTTCTAGAAAACTTGTGAAGTAAGAGTGTTCAGGAAGTACGGTTTGGAAGTTTAGAATGCTTCACCAAAAACACGGTTGTCATAGCAAATTCCGAACAGGTCTTCCACCAAGTGACGACGCCAGTGAATAGTATGCAAATACGGCAATGGGCAGCTGGTCGTAAATAATCTTCAATTTAAAAAGTAAATAATACTTTCTTTTTTAGCAAATGGTGCAATCAGACCGAACGAGGAAGGCTATGGAAAGTGCTAAACGATATTTAAATCGTCTACGAAGTAGTGAAAGACAACTAAAAAACAGTCGACCAACTAAAACTGTCTTAGATATTTAGCGCAGAACGATGGCGAATGCCTGAGTAAATGAAGATTAAACGTAACTGAGCAATCAAATGAATGTATTCCACTTAATTGTAAAAGTTTGACCGATAAACTATTTTCAGCTCTTAGATAATTGTATAAAAAGTGAAAAAAATTGTTTATAAAAGTTTTATCTTCAAAAACATTACTGTTTTTTTTTTTGTCCTCAAACGTTCAAATAAAACATTCTAAGTTTAAATGAAGTAAAAAATGCTTTAAAAAATAATTTCTTTATTTGAAGAATTAAGAAGAAAATGGAAAACGAGTGAACAGTCTGCGGTAACACTGGAACAAGAGTTAGGCGTTTTTTTTGACAGATTAAATCCAATTTGTAGGTCAACTTAAACAGTACAATTCTGCTGGATTGTTTAATACCGAGTATATTTTTTTAAAAAGCTTAATAAAACACAATGAACAGCCATCGGCAACTCCAAATCTTTTTGCTTCAATTAAAAACGGTTATACAGCGATGGACCGATTGAAGATACTGGTACAGTAGCTTATCCAGGTAAACTCAGAATACTAACAGCAGCATGCACGGTCAAAACAAAAGGCTGATCACGTGAAAAACGCTGTTTACACTGCAAAAATCAATTTGTCAAATTAACAGTGAAAAACGCGAGCAGTGTAAACTAAAAAAAAAATCAACCAGGTGACTAACAACAACAAAAAAAAAAACTTCATTAGCACGATCAAATCTTTTGAATTTTCTTCTAGACCACCATCAGAAATATTTTACAACATCCGATTTTTTTTTTTTTAGCCATCTCTAGGTTTTGCATCCAATCTGTATCAACGTGTAAAACAGCAAAACGTGTACTGATAAAGCGGTTTTACATAAACATATCGATCAAAAAAAACTGTGTTTACATTGTTAAATGAAAATAATCAATGCCGAAAATTTGAGTAAACGAAGAGGTAATAATTTATATCTCTCTGAAGGAGATAGGTAAGTTAAAAAAAACATTTTAAGATCTTTACGCTGACAGGTTTGAAAGTCTTAAAAGTCACAGTGGAACCTGTCAGCAAAAAATTATTTTAGAGAATCTGAGCACTGATTCTTTGCGCCTAAGTGCGGAGCACTTTGTTCGGCCTGTTACCACAGTATGGTAGAGATGAAGGTTCCGAGTGGAAAAGAAATCAGTTTCACTAACGACCGTACAAATTAAAAATAAAGTCAGCGGCGAAAGCTCTTCCTTACCGCAGAAAGACAACGAATAAGTTCTTCTCTTTTTTCTTCTTCCTTTTTCATTTTTAAGCACTCACTCAATTCTGCCTGAACAGCTATGATGAAAGTTTTTGCCCTCTAAAGAAGACAATAATCTTTTAGCAAGTAATGTCATGACCTCGCGAAAAAATTTCAGGATCTAATTAGGCTTTTTTAGTTTTTCTAGCTTGTTTCTCCCTTGTTCCTGCCCCGCCGTAAAATTCCATTGCCGTATCGTCAAATTTTGCTCAGCAGTTCTCTCCACGCCATGCTTCTACCATGAGTGATAGTGGAATTTGCTTAAGAAAAAATTACTCTCTCTACGAAATCGCAACACTGCTCTGTACAACGCTAGGCAAATTCAAATTTTAAAATTTTAGCAGACCCGTATTGTCAGCGTGATTTGCCCAGCTTAACTCATTGTTATTTTGGATCATCTGTCGTTTACAGTAGCAAATGTTTCTCTTTGAATAGCTTCTTCAATTACTAAAGTTGACGATAACATCTTGACACGTCAATGGTACCACTTTTGCGTAAAACGAATCAAAAAGCTTGAGAATCAACTTTTTTGTTACAAAAGCTGGTGTAGTAGCCACACTGTCAGGATAAGATTATTTTGCCACATTTTTATCCTTCATAAAAGCTGCGGAACAAAATTGTCTCAACGTAAGTTGTGTGAAAAGCCCAGAATTAGAAAGTGAAACTTAAAAGGAAAATCTTTCACGACATTCCTTTGAATATTTTGGTTGCATCCATTATCCT